CTTGGATCTCGTTTTCTCGACAGTTAAGATTTGCTTGACTTAGTTTTATGTGAACTTGTCGATAAAACGGGGTGAATCTTTGTATTATATAATATATCATAAATATTCTTATACCAACTTCTCATATTGATCCGAGTTAGATATGCAATTATGTTCTAGTTGGAATTTGGATTATAAATGAAACCCTAAGTGTCAAAAATAAGAAATCTGGTTTGAGACCATTGGTAAAATAATATGTTTTATTTTTAATTTATATTATTGATTTTTAATTTATATTATTGATTTCTTTTTAACTTGTCTTTATTTAACTTAGGCTCAAAAACTTCAAACTGTGACTTTGGCAATAAAAAATCATCTTATATGTTTAAAAGATCAATTGACACGTTTAAAAGATCTTTTTAAGGATGATGTTGAAAATAGCGACACAATTTTGCTTTGCATTAAGTCTGAACCACATGTTGAATTTTGTAATGATGAGGTAAATAAATGTTGGATTTACATATATGTATATTTTTTACATTATTTTTAGGAAGAATTTTTGACTTATTATGATTATCTTTATTTAAATAGGAAAATATACCATTTATTAAAGTAATTTTGGATAAGATCAAAACGAATTGGAAAAATAGCATCCTGAACTTGATTAAAGAAATAGAGAGCAAAATTGAATCAATTTAAAAAAAATTGTTTTTTTTTTTTTTTTTTTAATTCTACACGTACTTTATTCTGTTACTGTTTATAGTTAGGATTAACATTTGTTTATAAAAATAGGTAGATATTAATTTATACATTTTGTAGCATAAATTATAACTGTTCTAGCATTGGCTTTTTTTTTTTTTTTTTTTTTTTTTTTTGTAGTATTTTCATAATAAACATGAACAATATATAATTTATTCATATAAATGTTTTATGAGATTAGCTATTGAACTTTTAAAGTTTTACTTGTGTATTTATTAAATGTTAAATTCTACTTTGTATTTCCCAAAACAAATTTGAAATTATTTGCATCACTTTTGTAATCATAATTAATTACATTAAATTTCTTGATGAAAAAATAAAAAAAAATCTTTATAATGTGCGTCCAAATTGTAAGTTACATTAATTATATAAAAATTGCGAATAATTTCTTCCATTTTCATACATCCTTTGCAGATTTAATAAAACTTTTGATATTCGTAATCTCTATTCTCATTGATAAAAAGTGTAACTGAATTCGGCTTTCATCAATTAAAATTCTAAGAGGAAAATGGTTTCGTCTAACAACAATTAAAGTAGGGATTCATTCATTGTTGCCTCATTGTTAACTCAACGCAAATATTCAAGTAATCATCCTTATCTCCCATGATAAAATTAGGTATAACAATAATTGCCGATAGATTTGAAAACTAAAAGTTTAAGCAAATGAAATAGGAGAATACTATTAAAGATATCGTAATTTATAACTTTCTTCATTTCTCATTTGATTAAACTCCTCGTTTTAGGTTCGATGGTTTTGCAATTTGATATTTTTATTACTATTCATTTTGATATAACTAGGCAATCAAATCTCTTCATGTGTCTTAATCCAAACCGTTAATAACACTAGAAATATTATTGGCTTGGATAAAAGCTAAATAGCTTTATCATTCATTATGTGCAACTGAGCCTTAGTTTTAAACCACATCTTAAAATGTGAACTCATTAAAAATAATTTGCCTGTAGCAACGTATAGCAGTTTTACCAATTCACTAATTAGTAAACCTACGCGTAATCATCAAATGAAGAAGTACTAACCTTATATTAAATGTTAATTCATGCCAAATTTATTGAGAGAAATTTTCACATCTTAAATTTTTGGTGTTTTAAGTTATTTAATTATGTAATCACATTTAATTTAATAAAAATTTAAACCCGTAAATTTGTACATATACATATTATGAATACGTTCGTAAGCTCCTGTTCATACATGTAATGCTTTCACAAAAACGCGTTATTTTTTAAGGATTTTTTCTGCAGATTCTTTTGCATGTCGTCTGAGCATACTCCAATAAAATTTATCTACGATAGCTAAATTATTAGGATCCTTGCTGATTTCTTTCATCGTACATTCGACGCACCTTCCACTTACACATTGTCCACATTTCAGAATATCAACACCTATCAAATCGCACCAGTCACATTCATCTTTCTCAGTTGTTTCATCTATAATTTCCAATTCTGCTGAATCAGTGAAATAATCATCCATCTCTTCTCTTATAGTTTCATCGCTATCACTTTCTTTCCTAGGCTTTTCTTTCTGATTCATGTTCTTTAATGCTTGCCTACTTTCCATGCGTTCGACCATGCTAATTGCAGCTTTTACATCGCCCTTATTGATAGGCCTATTTGTCTTTGATCTAATTTTATATTTAAAACTTCTCCGCAAATTTATTTGACAATCTAAATTATGAACCAATATTGAAAGTCTCTCGTGATTTGAATATCTATTGAAAAATCTAATAACCAAATGTAAAGCATCCCTTGGATATTCAGTAATTTTATCAATTATTCCTTCACTTAATTCTAATTCTCTCATTTTACGTTTAAGTTTTAATATCCTGATTTCATGTTTCGCATTTGAATCTGCATAAACACTTTGTTTAACAAATTTGAAAGTATTTGTGACATTAACAATATCTTGTCCAATAATGTCTTGACAAAATTTGTAAAAACTTTCGTATCCCGCGTGCTGCCAAATTTTTGTTTCTCGAACTTCGTCTAAAAGATTAGAAACTTCATAATCACTTCTTGTGACGTCATCATGTAGATATTCTTTAAGTAATTTCTTAACTTTTTGAAGTCGTTTTAAAGATGATTCAATTTGAGGAATTGAAATACCAATATTTGAAGCTTGGTCACCCATTTTTAAATCAAAATATTACTGAAAAATAGTTAAAGAACTAACTGAAATCGTTTTTTTTTTTTTTTCAAAAAAAAAATTTGTGTGCATATCAGAATAAATATCGATATATTACTAATCCAACTGAAGAATATAATATTTTATCAAAAAAATTATTAAGTCCGATCTTATAAGCGCACACAACATTAATACTATCCTGATCAAGATTTTAACTAGCTTACTATTGATGCTATCGTTCACCATTAATACAATATTTGAATTATATATTTCTTAAAATTTAATTTTTTTTTTTTTTTTTTTTTTTTGATAATTTCGAATTTGTAGCTTCGATGCAAAAAGTATCTCTGCTTTGATTTTTTTAAATTTAGCCCTACTTTTTCGTAATCTTCCTTAATAAAAATTTACAATAATTTCGATTTTAACCAATAAGCATTAAGAAAAATATTTTATTTTATTCTTCCGCTATTTTATACAGATATTATTTCTTTGTTTTTAACTATTATCTTTTTTATATTTTCATTTTTTTTTTAAAAAAAGATCTTCGCTTTCTTAGTTTCACGCATTTTGAAATATAAGTTGATTTATTTATCCTATCGTTCCAGGAAAACAATGAAACACCTTCCCAGCCACTTCACGCTGACATACACCATAATGATATTCTTCTTATAATCATGCGGATAATATATAATTATTTGTATAATCTCCGATCAATAATACCTGGTCCGTATGTCTAAAAGCGAAAACTGCGCTAATACCCAGTGCCTCAGGATAGTATTATTACAAATGCTCTATTATTTAGCCTTAAATATAGTATGACAGCTCCTGGTCCACAAAAAGGGAGAAGTTTAAAGTCAGATGAGCAAGTTATTGGTCGTTTCGCATCCAATAATGGTATAAATAGTACTGTATAATTCAATGGATCACACGGCCAAACCCATCAGAATAACTCGAGTTTTCTGATGGTTTGATTGTTGTAAGCCATTAAATAAATGATAATTATATATCGAACACCTAAATTAATAATCAGTTTATAAAATTATCAGACTTAAGCAGCCCCAAGTTACCATAATGAAACACCTTTAGTACCCATATAATATCTTGTATAATTTCCAGAAGTATTACAAGAAATCTCGTAAAAAATGAGTACCGGTAAGATCTTATTATGCATTATACCCGCACTTGGTTAAGCATCCAGAGTATAGCACTACTGCATAACCTGGTTTAACTTCACTATATCGAGAATAATATCTAACTCTTAAATGCATGATTTTATATTCGTGTACTCATTAGAAAAATCAAGTTGATTCTCATCAAAACTTCTAATTCCTATGTCATTCGAAAATTTGATAATTTATCATTGATCTTATCCCTAAAAAAATAAAAAAAAATAAAAAACATTCAATAATCCTTTTACTATAAATGTCGATAAACCCTTTCGATATAAAGTATGTATACTAAAATCACTTATTTATAATTATTTGAAAAATACCTTAATAATTTCTCAAATTCATCAAATGATACTATCTAACTAGTGTTCGAAATTCAGGTATCGGCCTTTCCACAATCCGGATTGAATACATTCATCAACTTTAAATTATTTTTTCACTGTTGCCATAAAACTTGGAAAAATAAGTAGTTGCAATAATTTAACAGATAGATACCTTCATACGTACGTATTTGAAACTATTTTCCATTTTATTATGTTCAGCCCTGTACTTTCTAATAATTTCGTTACGTGAAATTCCTATTAACATGTCCAAATTAATAAAAATTCCCGCATTTATAGTAATTATGGAGTCGTTGCACAAAGGAGCTACCGAATACGATTGGTTACCACAAAAAAAAATTATACGTAAAAAAGTTTAAGTTAATCGAAAATAGTTAGATACAATTTCCACTAATTATTACTATCGCTATCTAATATCGCTATGCATTTAATTTAATTACGTAATTCAAGTTTTCATATTTATATAAATTTTATGTATTAAATTCAAACTTTTTTTTTTAGGAATTATTTTTATCAAATTCGACGAAAATTTTTATTTTTAATTCTATATAATCACAGAATCACAATAAAAAATTTATCAAAATTGAAATTAAAGTCGTTAAATTTTTTTAAAAACTTTGAACGAAGAAATTGGACAACCACTTAATAAACTTTTTTTTTTAATTCTACATATTTTTATAATTAAAATAAGGAAACTTTTATCGAGTTTGAACCAAGAAATTAACGAGATACCTTCGTTCAAATTTTTAAAAAATTCGAAACGTCTATCTGCTATCAAAATAGAAGCTGCGCCAAATTTTTTTTTAAAAAAAAACATTTGAACAAAGATATTTCAGACAACTGCCTAATCAAATTAGATGGATTTTTAATTCTATTATTAATAGATAAAAGTAATAAAAAAAAAATTCATCGAGTAGTTAATGAGATATCTTCGTTCAAAGTTTTAAAAAAAAAAAACGTCTAAGCTGCGCCAAATTTTTTAAAAAACTTTGAACGAATAACTTATATCTCGACACTCGACAAACACCAATGAAATTAAATGAACCTTTTTATTTTAATTCTACATATTTATAGAATTAGAATAAAATAAAAAGCTCATAGAATTTGGTTTAGTAGTCGTCGAGATATCTTTGTTCAAAGTTTAAAAAAATTATGATTTTTTAAATTGAGCAAAGATATCTCAATAACTGCTTACTCGACTTAATTCTGCTGATTCTTAAATTTAAAATAAAAAAATTTTCATCGAATTTTATCTGATAGTTATCTAGATATCCTCGTTCAAAGTTGTAAAAAAAAAAAATTTTAACTCATAGGAGATATGATGATATGAATAATAAATTTAGGGTGTATGATAAAAAAAAAAAATACAGTAATTCCTCTTTTTTTTTTTTTAATATGTTTTGTGGATTATTTATAAGTAGCTTTTGATATTAACGGTCTAAATTTTTTTCTTTAAAAGTTTTCATCCTATTAGTCTTTGAGAATGAATAGGTCCGGGATTAGTAAAATTTAAAAAAATTCGGTTTACAAGATTTTAGTTAGTAATTTGGCTTATTTACAATGTTCTGAGACCAATTTCGGTTTATTTAGTCTTCGGCTTATCAAGTTTGCCTTGTATTCTTGTATTAAGCTGGGTATAATTCAAGAATCAAGGTAACAATTCTTTCTTATTGCCAATGTATTTCTTGGTCTAACGGTTAAGTTGAATTTATTTTTATTCTTTTAAATATACAAAGTATATTATACGGTACATAAAAAGGAATTTAAAAAAGATATAATATTTGTGGAAAGTATCGTAAAAAATTATCAATTGATTCGAATTCGATAAATCATAGGATATCGAATATTTTGATATATTCCGTTGAGTACTCGGGAAAATATTATTTATCATAAATATAGAACCCGAACCAATTTTGTAATTTTACACAGTACAAAATTATATTACATAATTTGGTCTGATTTCAAAGATTATTACCCTATTTCCTCTAAAAACCACGCAACAAAATGCACTCTC